CAGATAAAGGAAAATAAGATGAGAATATGGAGAAATTACCGGTCATGTGATCTGTTGCCCCTGAATCTATGATCCAAGGGTTTGATTTAGAACCGGCTATGAAAGCTGTAGGATATGTACCTTTCTGGGCTAATGATGAAGAGGCAATATAAGATGATGGGTTAGGAGTGTTGGATATGGAATGAGAACTCATTAGTTGATACAATTGCTCTAGCTGTTCTTTGCTGAAGGCAGACAGTTCTGAGGCAGGTTTCGGCTCTTCAGAAGCATCTTCAGATGAGGCATGGAATCCCTTTGCATTACGAGAATTTCGATTGGCTGAAAAATTCTCGGCTGGCTTCCCGTGTAGCTTCCAACACTTCGCTTTAGTGTGTCCCGACTTGTTGCAGTACTCGCAGATTGGCCGATCTCTGTCGTTCCGACGATCGTTGCGACGTGGTGGCTGACCCGAGAACAACGCAGAAGACTCGGTGGGATTTGGTGAGTGGCCTCCAAGCATGACTGTCCGCCGGCTCTCCTCTCGTCTGACTTCGGAGAAGACTTCTCTTGTGCTTGGTAGTGGTTCACGACCAAGAATACGCCCTCTGACTTCATCCAATTCCTTGTTAAGGCCGACAAGGAATTCGAAGACCCGTTCTTTTTCCACCATCTTCTGGAATAGAAACCTGTTCTTAGCACAACTCCATTCGTAGTCGCTGAACATGTCAATCTCTTGCCACAAGGTCTTGAGTTCAGTGTAGTATTGAGTGACAGTTTTTTCTCCTTGTTTTAGCCTCCGTAACCGAGTTTTTAGTTCAAACCATTGTCCTGCGTTCCCGAGATCAGAATAGGTCTCGTTCACAGCATTCCAAATGTCATGAGCAGTAGGTAGGAAGAGATAAGTTCTCCCTACACTCGGATCCATGGAATTTATGAGCCAAGACATAATCATCGAGTTTTCTGCCTCCCATCTTTCAGATTCTTAATCTTCTTCGGCAGGTTTCGTAGTGGTACCTGAGAGATAGCCGAATTTTCCACGGCTACGAATAAACAGTTTCACAGATTGTGACCACTGTAAGAAATTATTTCCATTCAACTTGTGAGAAGTGATGGATATGTTTTGGAAGGATTCAGTGTTTAGGGTGATTGAAGGTGAGCGAGTAGAACTCATAGAGTCGATACCAGAGGTATCATCGTAGGGTTTGGCCATTTTGGCTCTGACACCATAAAGACGGAAAAACTTGTTCCGAATAAATCGTGTTTATTTCTGCTGAATATGACTGACTTAAATAGAGTTTACAATGTAACAACTTTACATAAAAAGATGCATAAAATTAGCAACAGAATAAAAATGATTCTATCTAATTAAAAATGATCCTATCTAATAACTAATAGAATAAAAAACTGATTCTATCTAATTAAAACTGATCCTATCTAATATTTAATTTAGATATTCTCGACACCCCCCCTCAAGCTGGAGAATAGATATCGATCATTCCCAGCTTGGACAGAAATCCTTCGAACATCGTAGTAAACAGTCCCTTGGTGAGAACATCGGCGAGCTGCTCTGATGATGGAACAAACGGTATGCAAATATTGCCATTTTCCAGCCTCTCCTTGATGAAATGTCGATCTATTTCGACATGTTTGGTCCTGTCATGCTGTACAGGATTCTGAGCAATACTGATTGCCGATTTGTTGTCGCAATACAACTTCATCGGTTTATCTCCTTCAACCTTCAGCTCCTCCAAGATCCTCCTAAGCCATAACAACTCACATACTCCTTGCGCCATGGCTCTGAACTCGGCCTCTGCACTGCTTCTAGAGACAACTGGTTGCTTCTTGCTCCTCCAAGTAACTAAGTTGCCCCAGACAAAGGAGCAATAACCGGTAGTAGATCTTCTGTCTGTAGAACTTCCGCCCCAATCAGCATCAGTGAAGATCTCCACTCTTCGACTTCCATTCTTCGAAAACATGATTCCTTTACCAGAACTCCCTTTCAAGTAATGAAGAATCCGGTAAACAGCCTTGGAGTGTTTTTCTGAGGGACAATGCATAAACTGGCTAACCAAGCTCACAGCAAATGCAATATCTGGTTGGACAGGAACCAGAATCTGTCAGTCATTTATTCTTTTCCTGTGTCCAGGTTTGGCAAATTTGGATAAAACTACTCCGTTTGTGGAAAGTTATTTCAGTCTTTCCTAATAATCCGAAAGGCTTTTTGCTTTCATGGTTGCATCTTAGACCCTACTCGGATATTTGGAGATTTATTCCAGGAGCAGTTTTGTGGTCTGTTTGGCTGTGCCGGAATCAGATTGTTTTTGAGAATGGCAAGATGGACAAAGATAATTTGTTCTTTTTGGTGAGGTATAGGGTGGCATCATGTTTTTTAGCAAAAAATAAGGATTTGTCTATTCATTTGGACAGCCTTGTGGGAGATCTTACTTTGGCGGATAAGCATAAATTCCCCTCTAATTTTCGACTGTCTAGATTAAAATGGTGCCCTCCTCCTTCCGGGTACTTTAAGATGAATGTTGATGGGGCAGTCAATTTTGACTGGAAAGGAGTGGTATTGGTAGAGTTCTTAAAGATGCTGGTAATAACAAGCTGGTTTCATTCTCTACAGCTTTAGGACCTTGTTCTCCTATTCTAGCTGAGATTTTTGCGATCAAAGTGGGGTTAGATATGTTTTTTGATTCAGTTTGGAGGGACAAAGGAAATCTGATTTTAGAAAGTGACTCGTTTCTGGCAGTGAAATGGATCAACAGCCCGGATCTCTGCCCGGTTCACCTTGTTGATTTTATTACAGAAATTCAGAAGTCAGTTGGGCTTTATAATGTTGTTATTAGGCATATCAGCAGATGTATTAATGAGGAAGCTGATGGTCTAGCTAAGTCAGGAATTGGTTAGTGAGTGTGGAGTTTGTTTTTAGGAGCTGTGCTTTTGGCATTTTATTTTGGTTATGTTTCTTTGTTTAGGCAATCTTTTGTAATGTTTGGGTATCTTATGTAATTGTTGGTTATTAATCTACTAAGGCACTCTTTTCCTCCTTCCGCTACTTGTCTCCTTTAAAGAGACAACTATGAGGGAGGTTTTTAATGAGGCTTTCTATTCCTATCAAAAAAAAAAATGCAATATCTGGTCTCGTATGAGCCAAATAAATCAGTTTCCCCACCAGCTTCTGATAGCGATTCTTGTCCACAGGTTCAGCACCATCTTCTTTTTCTAGTTTTTGATTCGGATCAATAGGAGTCGCCACTGGTTTACATCCTAGTAATCCGGTCTCTTTCAAGATATCGAGGACATATTTCCTTTGCGAGATAATTATACCTTTTGAGGATCTAGCCACCTCCATTCCAAGGAAATATTTGAGTTGTCCTAGATCCTTGACTTCAAACTGGTTGGATAAGAAGTTCTTCAACGACTCCAACTCTACTGCGTCATCTCCTGTCATAATAATGTCATCTACATACACAATTAAAATAGCAATTTTACCATTATTGTGTTTGTAGAACATAGTATGATCAGACTGGGCCTGAGTGTAACCATGTTGTTTCACAGCTCTCGTGAATCTCTCGAACCAGGCTCTCGGAGATTGTTTCAATCTATAAATGGATTTCTTTAGGTTGCAGACCCTGCCATCCTTCTTCAATTCATCAAAGCCTGGAGGAACTTCCATAAACACCTCTTCCTCTAGCTCACCGTTTAGGAACGCATTCTTCACATCAAACTGTATGAGAGTCCAATCCAGATTGGCGGCTAGTGAGAGTAGGACACAAAATGATGCATAAAATTAGCAACTGAATAAAAATGATTCTATCTAATTAAAAATGATCCTATCTAATAACTAATAGAATAAAAAACTGATTCTATCTAATTAAAAATGATCCTATCTAATAACTAATAGAATAAAAACTGATTCTATCTAATTAAAACTGATCCTATCTAATATTTAATTTAGATATTCTCGACAATAAGAAAAGCCAGCCTAGTCGAAGTTCTCTATATTTCCTTCACTAGTAAGAAAGGAGATGGTATCAAATGCTCTAGTCCGTAATATTGGAATATTTAAATACATACATTGAATTGGGATTGAAAGGAAATTATGCATATCGGCCAACAAAAATTTGCATGATTTGTAGATGAATTAGAGCACTCTTCAGAGCCTGTTATTTATCATATATCATAAGCTTATTTTATATGCATATACAGTAGGCCATACATTCTTGGAATGTTCCCAGTACCACCCTAGACTTCTCTCTTGGGTTAATTTCCTGAATTGTGGTAGGGATAGGAATTCACTTCAACCTTACAAATGAAAGATCTTTAGACCACTTATTAACTCTATTATTCCTTTGCACAATTTTTTGGGTATTTTCATGTAACTGGTACCCAGTTTTGTATAAATTAGCAACTACATTTTATCCTTAGATTATATCATGCATGATGTGAAATGTATGGTGAACCTTGCCCTGTATTTCTATAAAACAAGGATTTCCCAGTCCCACCCTAGACTTCACTCTTGGGTCCGGTTAATTTCCTGAAATGTGGTAGAGATAGGAATTCGCTTCAACCTTACAAATGAAAGATCTTTAGACCACTTATTAACTCTATTATTCCTTTGCACCATTTTCTGGGTATTTTCATGTAACTGGTGTCGAGTCTTGGATAAATTAGCAACTACATTTTATCATTAGATTATGTCATGATGTGAAATGTATGCTGAATCTGGCCCTGTATTATAAAACGAGGATTTGTTTGTCCTGTGCCTGCTTAAATGAAAATAAGAAATTACTTGTTTATTAAAACTGGTTTGATGATTCAGCTTTTAATTTTGGAGCCTTTTCTGTTTTGTAGTCTTCCTCGCAGGTCCTTCATGGTGCCAACCCTGCCACTGGACCTGTACTCGAGCATTTGTATGGATATTATCCTCAAAATGGCTACACGGAAGCACCTCGAGGCCCTATGTATACACAATCTGCTTTGCGACAAGCATTTCCAGATGGTGGCAATGTTACAGATATGCAGTTTGATCGCCAACACTACGGAAGTGCTAGTATGAGCAGCAGCTTGCCTTGGTCGAGTTCTTACGCATTTGGTTATCGAAGTTTAGAAAATCCTTCCAATTCTCCCGGAAGTCCTCTTCAAAATCTATTGGTTGGGTCGACAGGCAGCAGACTCGCTTATGATAACTTTTTAAGATCTCAGTTCACAATGGTGGATCTAATTTCAACCTACCTCAACAGGTAATAACTATAAGCATATTTTGATGATATGATGCGTACCCTACTGTTTAGAGAACGGACATTTTTCATTCTCTTTCTATTATATCATTTGTGTATTTCCAGGATGGCGGCAGTGCTACATGGGATTATGGACACGGTTCAAAAAACATATCAACTATTCCAGATAACGCTAATTACAGTTTACACCGGCAAAATCACCTGCTTGCCGGGTGTCAACATTGTCAGCAACAGTCACAACAGCTTCATGGAGCTTTGGGATACCCTGGTATTTACGGTTCTCGTTCAGAGATGGCAATGGAGCAGCAGCAGCAGCAACAGCAAAATATCCGAGATTTGGTTTTAAATGCTTCACAAGGACCGTTGTCTAGGGAGTCACCTCGACCATGGCTGCAGCATAAATATTAACATTTTTTTTGGTGTTTTTGCCTTTTGGTTATGCGTTAGTAGTAGCAAGCAAAGGATTATAAAAGCGGCCGAGTAGGATTATGTTATGATGAGAACCAAAAATGTATTGGTTTGTTTTTGAGTGCTTTGGCAATGTCCAATTGTGTACACATACATTAAAAGAGAAGCTGAATGGCAATAGTGGATGGCCTCCGCCTCAACATTATATAGCACTTTTTGGTTTGTGAAATAGAATTTAAAAAAACTTAAAGTTGGGTTTTCAGTTTTTTTCAAATGATTTATCAAAGTTCATTTTGTGGGCAAATTTATTTAATATTCTAAAAGCAAAAAAAATACGTGAAAAATGAAATTGTATGGAACTGGTTCATATGTGATTTCTTCTTTGTACAATTTTCGTATAGGGGTCATGTAGATGTTGAAGTGATGAAGTGGTAAAAAGAAACTTGGTCACAAGAAAGAACAATAAGATGAAAGAAAATTGGAAAAAAAAGGAGAATTCAACTTATGCAGCTGGTAGTCACACTGACAAAAGTCCAGCCACCGAGCTCAATCCCAATCCACGCAAAAGGCAAACAAAACAATAAGGGTAAATTATTGGATTAGTTGCTTTCCTTTCATATTTGTGCACTTTTTCTTACCAAATTTTTAAAAAGCTATATTTTGGTCATTTACGCTATTGATTTATTAAATTTTGATCACATACATTATCAATTGTTATAGTTTGATGACATGGCATGTTGGTTAAAATGGATTAGTTTTTCATTTTGCACCTGAACTTTAGATAAAATACTAATTTGATCATAAACTTTAATTGAAGTATCATTTTAACCTTAAACTTCAGATAAAATATCAATTTGAGCCCAAAATTCGACCAAAGTCTCATGTCGCTGCCGTTAGTCGCCCTCAATTGGCATCGACCATCATTATCGTTAGTCATCCCCAGTCGGCATCGACCATAATTGTCATCGACTATTAGAACCCAAAGTTTACAGTTCATTCCTTTTTGATATTTTGAATGAGAATCTAGTGTCCATTTTACTGAAAAATATTAGCAACTCAACAAAATTAACCTATAAACATTCAACTTCTTTTAATGTTAAACCATAATTATAAATTTATTATTAGTATTCCTTAAAAAATAAAGACACAAAATCTTGATCTATAGCATATTCTATTAAGCTAAATTGAGACCATTAGTAAAACCTTAATTTTTTTTATAAAATAAAAAGAGAACAAGAACACGATGTACAATGAAAAGAGACATGTGAAGTGTGTTGAGAGCATCATCAATCTCTATATTTATAGCCATAGGTAGTAGATCTAAAATACAACTCTGATACTAATGGATATTAGAGATTTGATAATGACGTATATCAAAATCTTATCTTATAGATACAGATTGTGTAACGCATCGAATCCTGGGTTAGGAGTTTGGGCTAACCCGAGATGGGCCTTGGATTAATTCTACAGGTTGTAAGAAGCCTTGACCCAAGTATATGAGGAATTGGGCTTGGTTTAAGCCTAACAAGTAATAAAAAGGGTATTTTTAGTTGGCAACATAATTACAGGGACCAAGAAAGCAATTTTACCATTGTTCAAAGTAAAAGTTGAAAACCATTAAAATTAGATAATATCACGTCTGAGCCATCATCCCTCTTTTCTTACCAACTCTGGCTTCCTCTTCTTCATCTTCTTCATTCAACCAAGTTAAAAGCTAGGAACTTTATAGATTTTCAAGAGTTTCAAGGACAAGGTAAAAATCAGAACCCTTCCACCTCTAGCTTCATTTTAAGCTCCTAAACACAAGGTTTGACCATGGTTTTAGAAAGTGAGTTTTGGGAGGGTTTAAGAAACCTTTGAGTTTTAATCTGATTTTCAGGGAACTTAGACCTTCAAAAGTATTTTTAAACCTTCCTTAACCCCTAAATTTAGTTAGTAACCCTTGATTTGCTTCTTGTTAGAGAGAGAAGTTAGTGAGAGCTCCAAAGCTAGGGGAAGGAGAAACTCACTTTGGGTTGAGCCATTGACTTTTCCAACAGCCTAGACACTTAGGTAACTCATTTCTAACTCATCTATACCATGTGTAGGTCATTTATATGGGGACATCACTAGGGCTTTTGGGTGCAAATGTAGGATCTTTCGAGCCAATACATGGCTTTTTGTAGCAAGGGTATTGATCTTGTAAGAACAGTATCGATACTTTTCATCAACCAAGCATAGAAATGGGCAACTTTCAAAGGGCAGTATCGATACTCACTAATAGAATATTGATACTAGGGTCCCGATTTCGATACTGATCAGGTTGGTCTCGAGACTAAGATTCCATATTATAATTTTGGTACCAATACTCACATAGAGTATAGATACCGAAGAAAGGGTATCCATACTCAGTCCAATATCGATACTCATCCAGGAGTATTGATATTACCTTGCCCAAATATCCTACGTCGGCAAACTGGTATTGATACCAACAGGTAAGTATCGATACCAATGGTTCAATATCGATACTAAGGAGTCAATATCGGTATTGACGAATAATTTTAGAAAATAAACCAAGGGATATTATATCATACTTGAGGTACCTCAAATACACTTAAATAACAACAAATCATACTTCAAATGAGAATAGCAATCGTTAACAAAATAGCAGAAACAGAAACATCTAGGTTTTCATAAAACTAACATTGTTTGATGCTCGGGAAACAGTCAGGACACTTGAGTTCCTCATTAGAAGATTACGACAGTTAGTAGATATCCAAGTTAGTGCTAAGGCACTTCAGTAGCCGACTGGGTGCAGATGCTCCAAGACTCGATGTAATGAGTTGGCGGGTGTATTTTTTCGATGTAGTTATGTATCTCACCCTAGATACCCGAGGGTATTTCAGAAAGGCTAGAGAGGTCTGTGAGATCTAAGATGCATAACCCTCAGCCGCACCATGATGCCTCCTCATTAGTTAAAATCAATAGCTTTGCATGTTCAGACTTGTGCCACTAGCTTTTCATTAAATGAATGCATATAGTATGGTACCATTATTAGTGAGGCACTCAGCTCGCAAGCTCATCGTTCGAAATGTGTTTCCATGCACATGTTCTTAGGGGAAAAGCATTGGGAGTTATCGTCACCAGACATTCCAGTGTAGCAGTAGAGAGTAGCAGAGACTATCAAAGTACGTCTTAAGTCATCTTTAGAGGGCATGTACTATTTATGGACCCTTATGTATATTCAGTCGTAGCTTTAATTTGTACTTGGTATTGTATTTATTTTTTTATACATTTTGGGAGCTCCCTATCATTTTGTAAACTTAAATTATTATCACGTTTATTTTATTACCATGGATGAATCTGTTTCAGTGATTGTAAACAAATTTTAAATAAATTTTTGAGTTATTATTTCGGCAGTCCCGTGTAACATTGTAATCCATGGATCTTCTGGTCAAACTGAAGTAGAGTGTTACATATAAACACCTACATAAATAAATATTCATAACACTCTACCTTGGATGTCTATGAAGATGATTTGTCTCATTAAAATCTTATTAAGATAAAACCCTGTGAAAAAAATCTTAATGAATGAAAGAATACACATATCTTTAATACACATAATATGTTGTCTCTTTAAAAATCTTATCATGAAAACCCAGTGAGAAAAGCCTTAATTAACGGAAAAAAGTACAATGCATATTTACTCCCCCTTATATATGCATCACTTAAGATCTTTGAGATGGCATAATTCAATGTTGAAAATTAACCTCTCAATTGTAGTAGTAGGAAGTGCCTTAATAAATGAGTATGCTAAATTTTCACTTGATCGAATTTGATGTACATCAATGTCTCCACTCTTTTGCACGTCATGGGTAAAGAAAATATTTGGTGAGATATGCTTTATTCTATCACCTTTCATGTATCCCGCTTTAAGTTGGGCGATGCAAGTTTTATTATCTTCATATAAAATTGACGAAGCTTCATTTTCTAAGAATAAATCACAATATTTTCAAATTTGATGAACTATAGTGTTTAGCCACACACATTCATGACTAGTTTCATGGATAGCTAAAATCTCGGCATGGTTAGAGGAAGTGGTAGTAATTGTTTGTTTTATTTAATGCCAAGAAATTATGGTACCACCATATGTGAAAACATAATTGTCGCAACTGTCTTTCGGTTGGGCCCAGGAATTGGGCTTCGACTTGAAAAATGTGGATTGGAGTCGCCACCGATCATTTATTTAAAACAAATGGGTTGATCGGATACCCTATTTCTTACATGATCTGCGTCTTTCCAAAGATGTGTCTGGTTCGGGAGTCGGTTACGGTCAAGGAAGGATTAGCACCCTTGAACCGTCCTTTCGGTACTACGTAATTTTCAGTTGTCTTTGATTAAGAAAATTGCAAGTTAAATTAAAAGGTAAAATTTGATCCGAATTACTTACCCTTAATGAGTTTACGGAAATACCCTTAAAAAATAAGATTTTAAAACAAAATAATAATAATAAAAGAAAGTAACAAAACTAAAGAGTAAACCAAGGAAATAAATGAAACCAATAATAATAAACATAAAATAATTGGATGAAAAAAAAATGAAATTGAATAAAATAAAATAAATGAAGATAAAATATATATACAAAAGGAATAAAAAAGGTAAAGTGTTTTTTAAAAAAAAAGAAAAATAATAATAAGAGAAAAGAAACTAAAAATATAATGAAAATAAATAAATAGTATAAATAAAATAATAAAATATATATATAAAAATATAAAAATGTATGTATAGTAATAAAATACTAAATAGTAATAATAATAATAAATAAATGAAAAATAAATATACTTATAATATTAACTAAAAAAATAGTAATCATATAAAATAAAATAAATAAGTAAATATATATATATAACGTTAGGAAAATATAGTAAAAAACATAGTAAATAAGTAAACATAGATAAAATAATAATAAATATATATATATATAATAATAGGAAAATAATATAATATAACGCAAAGAAAAATGAAAAAAAATTATAACAAATAAATAAATAAAATATAATTAAATATATACATATATACATATAAATAATAAGGGTTAAATTAAAATAAAAAATGAATTAGGGGTCAAAATTAAAAGCCAATCGAAGA